GAGTGGGGAGCACCATCGGGTTTCCAACCTCACAAAGTTGGTGCAGCATTAATCAGAAGATTTGGCGCTGCGGCGCCCCAAAGGAACGCTCAGCAGTGCGGGATTTTGAGACAAATTCCTCCCCAGATGGGTGGCGCGCTCATAAAGCAATCGGCCAGACAAATGGCATATTTTCGTGGGTAATTAAAGCGATTATAACCGGGGGATCGTAACGCGGTAAGTTGGAATCGTTTTACTCGCCACATACGTCATGCCAGGAGCGAGCGATTTTCGGCTAATTGAGCAGCGACTTATGATGTGGATTTCTGATGCGGTCTGATGCCCATTAAGCCCGATTGGTATTCGGCACGGCGTCCCCGAGCGATCGCTTTTAATTGTTTCTCCGCTCTGTGCAACATACAATTAGAGCGGGGCGGCACGTAGATCCGAAACGTTGTAATTCCAGCTCTAAACCATCCCTGGAGCGCTCCACCTGAACGGGGGCCACATTTTTCGGCTCTATGCGACATTAGAATGGAATTTAGGGGGCGTCGCGTGCGCTTCTCTTCGCCGCTGCTGCTGCTGCTGCTGTTTTTATTTTTTAACTAATGAAAATCGGTCCTGTTCGCTTACAAATCGGGACATTGCAGGACAGACACAAAGCCCCCTCCGGACTATAAATTGACAACTAAGCAGGTCGGGATGGCGGCTGCCGAGAAAACCGTATTGATTCGCCATCAGGCAACCGGGCGGAATAAGGCGAATCAAATGCGACGCACGTCCGACAGTTGTCCATCAGGTCCCGATTTGACAGTTTGTATCGCAACTAAGCCGTCAGCCCGAAGCCCGAATATCGTAAACTCTCATTTCCGCACGGGGCCCCAATCACTGCGTCCAGCGGCGTCACCTGCGGTCGACCGCTTTTTTCGCTTCTAACTTCGTTGAGGTTAGGAATGGGGGCATAGTGTGCCACCGTTTTCGATTCGCTAGGAAATTTGCCAGATTTTTCCTCTCTACGCTTCTTCTCCTCCAGTCAACGGTTCAGGAGTTCTGCGCTAGTAAAGTTTTCTTGACTGCGTCAACAGTGTGGAAATGGAAACTTGCGCATAAGTTGACTGGTTGCGCATCCAAGTCGCACTCCAGCAAACTTTCGGGTTCTTTGGGAAATTTGGAAACTTCTTCAACTTAACTTTATTTTGACTAAAGACAACAGTTCAGAAGTTCTGAGCAACTGAAGTT